CACAGATTATTTTTTTAAGCTGGTTACTTAGAAATTGGCTATGCCTGTCAAACGGGATTGACCCCTCTTCTTTCCCACTCCTTTTAAAAAAAAAAAGTTAAATTAGAGAATTAGTAAAACAAAGGCCCTGTACAACTCCAGGCCCAGTTATCAGAACAGAATTGTGGTTGCCAAGACACCAGGAAGAGATATGTAGAGAGAGCTTTAGAGGACGGCACCCAGCAACAAAGTATTATTATCTTGTCAACTGTTATTCATGTTGTATCTGTTCCATCAGACACTTCTGTGTTCTGTGACCTTGGACAAGACACTGCCAGAGAGCTGTTTTGAGGGCAAATGAAACAACACCTGTCAAAGTCTCCAGCCCTCTGCCGGGGTATTGTAAGGACAAGACGAATAGTCTTTCGTGTGCTTATATTCTCCCTTCTCACGGTGGAGGTTTGCTTGGGCTTTCTGGTCATGTCCTTCCTTGGATCTGCCTCACTTAAAATTGTCATCTCCCTAACCAATGGACACAGACAACAGGGGGGTGAGGGCATGAGTGGGGAGGATGGAGGGTCATGTGGGGATAAGGATACATATGTAATAACTTAATCAATTAAGAAATTAAAAAAAAATTTGTCATCTCTGACCTGAGCATATGAGTTTACCTCCACACTATTTAGAAAGCGGGAATGCTAGTAAATAGGAGCTCCTGTTTTGTACCCCCAGAGCACAAAAGAAAGAAAAGCCTTCAAATGCTGGCAGAACAGAATCGCGTCCCAAGAGCTGGAAGGGACACACAGGGCTCATCTAGACCATCCAGCCGACCAACACAACAGTCCAATCTCCCATTTCTGTGGTAAATGCCTCTCTCTCTGCCAAATCCTTACTCTGGTGAGAAGGGCTCATCACCGCACAAGGTTACACCCCTTTCCATCTCTTGACAAAAATAACTGCTAGTTACGCACTATTTTTTTTTAGCTACGTAGGAAGAAATGTTTTGTTAGATAAAATACTTTTGTAAAACAAAATTTTCAAAGTACTTCAAGGACTCAAATACACATTCATGGATCCTCTGCTATGTGCTAGCAAATAGGAAGATGATGAGACAGTAATCCTTTCTGTCCTCAGAGAGCTCACTTTCAGTGAAGGAGAGAGATACACACAGATTATCATAAAATTATGTTGGAAACACCTGATAGAGACACGCACAGGCTATGACAGAAGCACCAGTGAAATACACCCAACTCAGCCTGAGGGGAGACATTCCACAAAGACTTCCAGGTGAGGCCCACGCTGAGACTCAAGGAAGAGCCGTCTATTGTAAACTAGTTGGGCTTACACAAATAGATGTCACTAATTTGGATTAGTTTTATACATGTTAAAAACCACATGTAAAGGGCATTGATCTCTAAACTTTGTGTTAGCAGTTTGATCTAACATTATAAAGTTATATTTAGCCGAAACCGGTTTGGCTCAGTGGATAGAGCGTCGGCCTGCGGACTCAAGGGTCCCGGGTTCAATTCCGGTCAAGGGCATGTACCTGGGTTGCGGGCACATCCCCAGTAGGGAGTGTGCAGGAAGCAGCTGATCGATGTTTCTCTCTCATCGATGTTTCTAACTCTCTATCTCTCTCCCTTCCTCTCTGTAAAAAATCAATAAAATATATTTTAAAAAAAATAAAGTTATATTTAAAAAAAGTAATAATTTGACCCTTTCATTATAGTCCATTGACTTTCAAACTGTATTCCAGAATTTTGGGGAGAGGGGGCTGGCGTGTTTTTAGGCACCTCGGCCTGGGGGTGGTAGAAGCTAAGCAGGCAGTCCTCCGGGCCCTCACCAGGGGTGCTTCACTGTTCCTCCTGTTGTATTTGTGGGTGTTGTGTGCACTTTTTTCTAATCAGAAAAGGAGGTTCTGATATTAAAATATGTTTCAAACTACAAAGAGAGGCCAAGTCCCCAGTGAAGAAGGGTTCATTACATACTTCTCATCTAAGGCCAATTTACTCAGGTGGGTACTTTAAAGCAAAGCACCAAAAGTATTCCCACCCCTAGTTATCTTTGCTCATTCTGCAACCATGACCCTGATACCCTTCCCCTATCCCAGGCAGCAACCTCATAAAATGAAGAGGTAGACTTGAAAAAATTAATCATTATCCTGAAGAAAACACCCTCAAGAAGTACAGTTTATTAATGGTGGGATGGTGGCACATTCATGTACAAAGACAGCAAATTATCATTCTTTAGAACAAATTGTGTTATAATGAATACTATCATAATAAAAATCACGTCATATGGAATAGGTTTATAATTCCTAATTCTAAATCAATGTTTTGCCCTGGCTGGTGTGGCTCAGTTGGTTGAGCATCATCCCATGCATCAAAAGGTTGCTGGTTCCATTCCGGGTCAGGGCATATGCACAGGATTTGGGCTTGATCCCCACTTGGGAGTGTAGGGGAGGGAGGCAGCCTGATCAATGCTTCACTCTCACATCTATGTTCCTCTCTCTCTCCCTTCCCTTCCTCTTTCTCTAAAAATCAATACAGAATCTTTTTTTTTAAATTAATGTTTTAAATAACATCTGATATAAAGTTATAGAACAGCTAATGTTTGGGTAGTTCCTTTGTGTTTATTATTTTGGGACTTTACCAGTCATGTACATTTCAAAATACAAAAATGTTTTTCTTTTGTCCCAAATGCAAGATGAGAACCTGGTTTTCTGACATGATTGTCAGAAATATGTTGTTTTAGATACATCAACATATAGTTTCCATGGCTCTTTTAGTCTAAAGGAAGGTTTTCCAAAATAGTTATACAATGTCTATACAACACATCATTTTGAAGCTGGGTTGAGAGAAGTAGATCTAGTCTCAGGTTAAAAGGAAACATCAGATGAACAGCTACCCTGGGTCCTACTGAAAGCCAACCAGGAAGGTAGAATGAGTCCCACACGAATGGATTGAAATCTGAAAGACAGCTTGTTGTGTTGAGCAGCACTCAAAGGCCATAGCTCCTGAGACACTGATTTTTCCTAGAAAATCTAGTGCACTTTGGGTATGCCCACATGGGGGAAAGAGACCATGAAGCAGCTGCTAAGGCTTTCTTACTGAAACCTCTCCCCATCCATTGCTCCTTGGGGCGCCTCATCAACCTGCTATGAGGGCAAAAAGCTAATTCTGCTTGTGGATCAACGCTCAGGTGAGCCCCCAGTGGCACCGACTCTTTGGGGCAAGTGTCGAGGAGATTAATTTTTCCACTGCTAAGTTGTTTGTACTCATAATACGAAAGAATCTAATGAATGTTACAGAAACCCATTTATGGATTTTTTAACCTGCTCATAAGGGTAACAAATAAGCTAGTCATCTGGTTGGCAGGGTCTAGGCAGGAGGCAGGAGCAGAGGGAAAAGATGTGAGCAAGAAAGTGGACATGGAAAGGAAATCCCACAAACTACTCTTATTTCCCAGACTTAGCTTTCATTGAAAAATACGTCCTTAATGGAAAACTTACTGCTCCTTGACACAGTGAGTTTGGCTTACAGTGGGGCCTTGACTTACGAGTTTAATTTGTTCTGAGACGGAGCTCGTTAAGGAGCTCATTAAGGAGCTCGTTAACTCAAATTACTCTATCAACTCAATGCAAAAAATCAGGAGAGGCAGCTGGTATCTCAAAAAACTCGTTAGTCGGGACGCTGGTAAGTTAAGGCCCCACTGTATTTAGTAAGTCTTTTTAACATGACTTATAGTAGGCTCTCGGTCTACTTATTAAGAAATTACTATTATTTTTGTTGGGGATGATAATGCATGATAGTTATGTGAGAGAAAAAAAAGTCCGTGTCAGTGTGAGATACATAGTGAAGTGACATGATGCCTTAGATTCTTTTTTTTTTAAAGAGAATCTGGCAAAAATAACAGTAAGTGGGGGGAAATAAGAAGATAAGACTGGCCAAGTGTTACACTTCATGATGGGCATATGAGGGCTCCTTACATTAAACTTTCTATTTCTGTGCATGTTACAGTAGGTTACAAAGTACCCAACTGAGTAAATTGGCCTAAAATTTTCATAATAGGAAGTTAAACACCGATTTTTAAAATAGGTCGAAAAGCCACACTGTGACAATGCTCTTCCAGCTGGTTCCCACACAAAAAGAAGGCAAGCCTACCACTAAATGTCTTTGATTCATCAGTTGGAAGATCCACCATTCATTTAATAATAGTTTTTCAGAGGAAAATAAATGCACAACATTAAAATGATTGTAAACTATATCAAATTTCAGAATTGTTGAAACGTGCCTCGAAATCATCGTAACTTGCCATTTTTCCTTTGTCAGTTTTCAATAGGAATTGTTGCTAAGAGGCCAAGTTTGAAAAGAAAGGTGTACCAGGTCTCCATTATTTATTTAGTCATCATATTTTATTTTATCACTTGATTTAAGCCATTAAATGGGAGTTCGTGTTAACTTAGCGGCTGAAGGTTTGCCTCCCTAAAACGTAAGCGAGCAAGTGCAGGCGAAGCAGGCTTAAGAATGCAGTAAGTCTGAGCCTCTCACTGGCCTGTACATTGCTACCCTTGTTTTAATATTGCCTGCTAATGAAAGTAATAAAACTGTAAGATTATAAATGCCCAAAGCACACGTATCTGTGGACCTTGAAAGGAGTCAGAGTCACTGCTAGTTTCCCGAGAATCAGCTACCCCTTCAGTAACACCTCGGGGGAGAGGAACCACGCTGGGCAGAGAAGCTTCGTGCTCTGCAGAGAGGAAAGGATCTATTCTAGGTGCTACAAGTTACGGATCTAGAGCGAGTGACGGCGTAACCAGAGGGTCTCTTTTCATCGTGCCGCCCAGGGGCGGCTGGGCTCTCCGCGGGATCGCCCGGCGCTCCCACACGCCCCCTTGCGGTAGGGTTAGCCTGGGGGCTGGACACGTGCATCTGGCCGGGAGGAAACCACGGAGTCTGAAGACGCCAGGTGCGCCCAGACCTGCGCGCGCGCGGACAGATGTGCACAGCGGCGTTACTTACTGTCTTCCGGCAGGTTGTTCTCCCGCTCTTCTCTCTCCATCTGCTGGCACCAGCCTTCCATGCGGTCTCGCTCCGCCTGCAGAAGCTTCAGAAACCAGTGGCCATCCCGGTGGCACACTGACCTTTGAACGGCCTCCATGGGGTCTTCGGTGATCGAGTCAATCCAGGGGTCCGGGGGAGGCAGGATCGAAGGGTCAAAATCCGCGTCGAAATCGTCGTCGGCCGCACAGGCGTGGTAGTGGTTTCCTGAGCCCTGAATGCTGACGGTGGAGGTGCTGGCGTCCCGGGAGAACTGCCTGGCCGCGGGGCCCGGGCACGAATTGTCCTCTATAGACTCCAGAGAGTTTTCCAGGTTGTCGTGGAAGTCCAGGTCAGCCTGCACTGCCGTCGTCACACTGTTGGATCGGGTGAACCTGCGGAAGCTTGGAGGAATGGGGAAAGGAGATTTAGTTCAAGGATATTTCTTGAAGCAACACCACTTTCTACATTTCTTCATGGTGTGACAATCGGGGTCTCATCTCCTCGGTCTGCAGAGGCACGCCCTGATACAAGCATATCAGTAGCCGTAGCTCTAACATAAAGAATGCGAATTTCTCTCCCGGCCAGCGTGGCTCAGTGGTTGAGTGCGGAGCAATGAACCAGGAGGTCGCAGTTTGATCCCCGGTGGGGCACATGCCCAGGTTGTGGCCTCAGGCCCTGGTGCAGGAGGCAGCCTATCAATGATTCTCTCTCATCATTGATGTTTCTCTCTCCCCCCCTTCCTCTCTGAAATCAATAAAAAAATATTTAAACAAAGAATACAAATTTCTCATGTTCATTCAGTATTAAAGCACAGCGAGAGAAATTTTAGAAGTGGAGCAATCAAAGCCAGTATAATGTCCCATAGCCAGTTTCCTCCCCATATCTGGACAGCCTGAATCCTGAAATTCAGATTGGTGAGGGGTAAGGGAGCAATTCAATTATGTCTTATTATGCATAACTTGCATAGAAGTGGGAGGGAGGGGAACCAACCCAAACTGGGCGAAGGCTATCATGAATCTGGCAAAAATCACATTTTCCCAGCGGCAGCTCTTACCAAGTAAGACTTCCTGAAAGCAAACTAAAGAATTGGTAGGTTCCCCTTAAAAGTAAGACTCCTTTCCCTGCTAAGGATTCACCTGTCTCTTGATTGCATAGGTCATTGTTATTATTTAGAACAAAGCTTTGGGGGCAAAAATCAGCTCACAGTTCTAGAGTTTTCCTGTACCGTCCTCCCCTGTGCCTTTAACTTCCCTTCTCAGAGTCCTTCTACCAAGGTGATAGAAGACAACTTGTTAAGAGATTCAATCTGAGCACTTTATATGGACAGCCAAAGGACTCTGAACATCCCTGGTTGATTCCTGCAGTGAAGGTGAAGACGTGGAAGATGGGAGGGTTGGGGAAGAACCGAGGAGCAGTGAATTCTTTCTCAGACAAGGGGAAAGGAAGCCGTGGGTGTGAAGCAATTTAAATGCACACACACACAAGCTTAACGGCTCCTGGCGCAGGCGGGAAACAATGGTGGAGAATATAAGTCCACTGAAGGTAGCATCGTGTGTCTGTTACCCCATCTATATTTCTTTGTTTTTTTTTCTTGAGTCTGCAGGCCGACGCTCTATCCGCTGAGCCAAACCAGCTAGGGCTTGTTTTTTTTTTTCTTAAGGTAATTTCTTGATCTAATATTTTATATATTTTAATTGTGAAAAAATACATATCACAAAATTTACCATTTTAATAAGTTTTGAGTGTACAATTCAGTGGCATAAGTACATTATTCACATGGCTGTGCATCCCTCACCATTACCCATCTCCAGAACTTTTTCATCCTTGATAATTGAAACTCTTTACCCCTTAAATAACTACCACTCATTCTACCTACCCCTTCCCCAGGCTCTGGCAACCACCATTCCTTCTGTGCCTTTGAGTTTGACTACTTTAGGTCTTCCATATAAGTGGAATCATAAAGTAATTGTCCTTTGGTGACTGCCTTATTTCATTTAGCGTAATGCCTTCAAGGTTCATCCATGTTGTAGCATGTGCCATAATTTCCTTCCTTTTAAAGGGTGAATAATAACCCCCCCTTATTCATGGGGATATGCTCCAAAACCCCCAGTGGATCCTGGAAACCGTGGTTAGTACTGAACCTTGTGTATACTGTTTCTCTACACATTCATACCTGAGATAAAGTTTAATTTATAGACACAGTAAGAGAGTAAAAACAATCCTATATAATAAAAGGCTAATATGCAAATAAACCAAACAGTGGAACAACCAAACAACCGGTCGCTATAATGTGCGCTGACCACCAGGGGTGGGGGGCCGCATGTGGAACATGGCAGGCATTGGATATGGGTGGGATGGTGGAGCCGGTGAGTGGGGGCACCAGATCAAGGCAGGGTGCTGGTCGCTGTTATCAGGGCAAGCCTCTGGTGCTTACTGAAAATTCTTTGCTCCCTCGCGCTGTGGCCCTGCAGGCGCTCGCATCTGCTGCCAGTGATGGCCCCACTTGCACCCGCTGCCCATGCCTGGTGCCAGCCCTGATCGCTAGGCACCATCAGTGGGTGTGAGTAGCAGCTGCCACCCCCTACCACCCCTGAGGGCTCTCCACCTTCCCCTGCTCCTGAGTGGCGATCGGGGCAGCAGCCGCCGCTCGCACCCACTGCTGGCGCTGGCCCCAATTGCTCAGCGCCGTTAGCAGGTATGAATGGGGCCAGTGTTGTCAGCGCATGGGAGCAGCAGCGACCAGAGCAGGGCTGCCGGCAGACAGGGGACCGGGGGCCATGGTGGGAGGGGTTGGGCAGGGGCATGGAGGATGGGCTGAGACCCGCCCCTGAGCCCACCACAGTCTCATGGCCCACAATTCCTTTCAAGGTGCACGAATTCGTACACTGGGGCCCTAGTAACTAATAATACAATAGAACAATTATAACAATATTCTATAATAAAAATTATGTGGGTCTCTCTCTCAAAATTTCTCATTGTACCAAACTCACTTTTTCACTTAATGGAAGCACCATACAGTTTCTCTTTGGCATAGCTGAATGGCCAGGATCACTACTCTTGTGCTTTGGGGCCAATAAGTATAAAAAGGGTTACTTGAACACAAACACTGCGATATGGGACAGTCAATCTGATAACCTAGTCTGCTGCTGACTCACGGGCAGGGCAGGGAGTATACACAGAGCTAATGCCCTGGACAAAGGGATGATTCACTTCCCAGGAGAAACAGAGAGGGATGGAGCAAGATTTCATCATGCTATTCAGAATGGTGCACAATTTAAAACTTATGAATTGTTTATTTCTGGAATTTTCCATGTAATATTTTCAGACATGATTGACTGCCAGTAACTGAGACCTCAGAAAGAAAAAGTGCAAATAAGAGGGGACTACTGTATGTATATACCATATTTTGTTTATATACTCATCTCTTGATGGACTCTTCTGCTATGAACATGGGTGTACAAATATCTCTTCGAGAGCCTGCTTTCAACTCTTTTGGGTATATACCCAGAAGTACAATTGCTGAATAATATGGTAATTCTGTTTTTAATTTTTGAGCAATTGTCATGCTGTTCTCCATAGCAGGTACACCATTTTATATTCCCATCAACGGTGCACAAGGGGTCCAATTTCTCCACATCCTTGCCAACACTTATTTATGTGTTTTTTTTAATAGTAGCCATCCTAATGGGGCTGAGGTGGTAAATTTTCTTGACCAGTTCATGATTATACCATTTTAAGAGTGCTCATTTGCCAGTTGATTTTCAGTTACTGTTTCATGTTCCATAGTGCACTAAACAATACAACATTTAATAAACCAGATATGCTTCTTAACTCTCCTGGAACACTCTGTGAAAGCCAATTAAGACTAATACTCTGATCCCTCAAAAATAAAGAATGACCAGAATAAAACAGGTAATTATTTGCAACCCTATACCCCTTAGAAAAACTAGAAGTCCCAAAAAGGAGAGAGTCCAATCATCTGAATAAATCATTTCCCCCCCCCAAGACAATAAATATCTAGGAAAAAAGTGGCTGCACTAATCTGTGTTAGTTATTAGCACAGTCAAAATGATCAAATATGTTGTGATTCATTTTATGAAGATGGACCAGACGAAACTGGCCCATTTCACTGTTTGCTGTTTTCAAGAAATTACTTCCATTATACCTGGTCATGTTATAAGTTTTCAAACTCTCCAATGGGCCATTAAAAAATCACATAATGCGAGAGTCTGAAGGCAATGTTGTAGATCTCTTGTACTAGCAAGGAAACATAGAAGAGCCACTTATTTCCGAACTTCCTGTCCAGCTGCATATGTGTGAATTGGATGGCTCTCCTTGCAACAGTTGACAGTGTGGCTGTTCTACTAACACAAAATCCCAGCTATGAGAAAACACGAGGCTGCACTCTCCAAGATCCTGTGCTGCCAGAGGCATTACATTTCCAGACTTAAGGACGGACCAGTGCCTTATTGTTTCCAACTGGAGCAAACTTGCCAGAGACAGAATCTGTTTCACATACAAAACAGAGACCTACTTTCCTGGGCCCGTTTCTATCGACACAAAACCGTACCATTGGCATTCCTGACAGAGGCTCCTGGCTATGAATCTGGTAAAGTCTCCACCTCCTTAAGAAAAATCACTTGGCAGCAGATTAGTAGGAGTTTGTGCAGTTTAGTCACCCAGAAAGAAATAACAGTTAAGTGAAATGAAAATGGTTTGGGATTAAAAGCGGTGCCTTTGAACTCAGGCAGCCCTGTCCCGGCTGCACTGTGTCTATCAATTAAGTTCCTCAAGCAAGTGCTTTCTTCCACCCAGAGCTTTCAAAGAATGTTCTGCTCTACAGAACGTTTTCAGTCTCTCATGGGCAAAGTTCCTTCTCAGGGAAGGGTGCCATCAAGTTGTTGCTGTTTTAAAATTCTGATAAAAACAGAGAAGCAGTCACTGGATTAATTTCTGTAGTTTTGAAAAGAACAGATCAGTTGCTGGTTGCTGCTAAAAATCCAAAAGCTGAATCCAGTGTCTTGCTAGTTTTGAACCCACAATCTCCAGTGTTGAAGCTTCTTGGGTCCTTCATGCCCTGAAGGCACAGTGTGTAATAATTACAGCTTCTGAAACAGACCGGCCAATATTCTGGTCTAAGGAGCAAAAAACCATGAAACTACAGACTGGCTCAACCAGTATGGGACACAATACCCTGTCTGTTCTGAATAGCAAGAGAAAAGTCACTTGTTAGTATTCACCTCTGCTGTTGCTTTGTGCTCCTTCTATGAAACCAGTTTATATTTCAATTAGAGGATTTTCTGCCCCCCTCCCGCGACTTTTCTGCACAGCAGGCTACAAATCAACACGCAGATGGCGCGTTGCAGGCCCATTCTCATCTCCTCTGTCCGATGGGGCTGTC